CCTCCTCCTAAATTCCAGAAGCTGCTTGACACCAATTACTTTTCAAACTTATCTCATTTATTGCATTCTTCGACCAGAAACGATAGTGTTTTAAACTTAATTTTTACTAATGGCACCTTCCCTTTATCTATGGATTTCTATCATGACCTTTCTACAAGTGATCATGCATTAATTCATTGTCACCTTCCAGTTGCCATTTCCGCAAAGCCAACAGTACAACGTAGTATTTTTGACTTTGCTAATGTTAACAAAAAATTAGTAAATAACTTCACATACCCTCTTGATTGGCACAATATTTTTCCAAATAATGATCTAAATTTTTTCAACCATTTATTACAATGCGTAACAGAAGGTCTTCTCGACCTAATTCCACGGAAGATGTTCAAATCGAGTGCTTATTCCACCGCTGTGTTACACTTTCTTTAAAGCAGACCTAAAAAGTTACGGAAGCAGTTTAAAGATCCTTCTGTGAACTCATTATCAGTTCATCTAAGAATCGTAGAAATAATTGAACTAGCTTCGAAAATGAGGCTCGCGCGAGATAGGCGTAGAGAGCCTTTAGCTATTAGTGACATGAATGCTTCTAAATCAGTTGCTCAGATCTTCTGTCAAAGATCATGTGCTAAGTCCCACCAAGTCATTCCGCCCTTGCTTAGTACTAGTGATGCCTTCATTAGAGAGGAAACAGGCAAAACAGAAATTTAAAATTCGTTCTTTGCCAAACATTTCACCATTGAAACTGACCCAATCCCTCTAAGTCCTCCGTTGTCTTCTGCTTCTCTTAGCATCATTAAATTTTCTCCTGAATGTATTCAAAAACTGATAAGCCATCTTCCTAACTCTCACTCAGTAGGTACGGACAATATCCCAAACTCTTTTATAAAACAGCAAAGAGATTTTCCTCCTCTACTTAGCAAATTCTTTTCAGTATTTCTCGTAAATGGCTTCTTCCTTAACTATTGGAAAACTTCTATTATTATTCCAGTATTTGAGTCTGGCTGTCGTTCTGACGTACAGAACTATCGAGGTGTCCATAAAACACCCTTGCTCGCCAAAATCTTTGAAAAAATTATCGCCGTAAAAATTACCGGCGTTTGCATAGCCAATCACGTTAGTAGCCCTTCTCAGCATGGTTTTTTACCAGATCGTTCCTGTGAAACATGTCATTTGTCGTTTCTCAATCTACTTACCTCTCCTCGTAATGACCATCTATCTATTTTCCTTATTTATTTTGATCTTA